CTCAATTAGTCATGGTATTTGGTAACTCTGTCATTTCTCCCACACCCTTATTCGTCAATGCTGTGCCAGCGCTTCCACGCTTCCACTCACATTTGTTCGGAGCAAGCTGCGTTGTTAGGCATCTCCAGGCGATGTCCATGTTGGAGTAGATTTGGGAGGGTATGTGCTTCCACTCCGGGGTAAGGACCCCTACCGCCACAGAATACTTCCCACATCGTTACTCCAAATGACCACTTTTTGAAAGAGAAAAAAGATACAGTGAAACCTCCGAAAAAGGACGCTCCAGATGTAGGACACCTCTCTATAAAGGACACTTGGTTCTGCCCCATACTAATACATTAGTGACACTTCTCTATAAAGGACACTTGGTTCTGCCCCATACTAATACATAGGGACACCTCTCTATAAAGGACACTTGGTTCTGTCCCATACTAATACATAGGGACACCTCTCTATAAAGGGCACCTGGTTCTGCCCCATACTAATACATAAGGACACCTCTCTATAAAGGACACTTGGTTCTGCCCCATACTCAAGTATATATGACGTATCAAAAACGTACGACATCTGTCTTGGTAGTAAAAACTCCCTCTTGTAAGCTCTCGAGTGCCATCCATTTGAACGGAAGTCTGACGCAGTCGGATTTGTCTTGTCTGAAGTATCCCTTGGAGTTGACTTCTTCAACTGCGAGACCAAAATCAGCCACTTTTATAATCCCATCTCCATCAATCCTGGGGGAGAATGGAAAGAGGTGTGTGGAAGAAACGGAGAACAACGAAGAAGGGCTCTTTATAAAATAAGGAAGGGATGAGAGGAAAAAGACAACAGATATACAGTATATTAGCAGAGGGAAGGTGGGAAGGGCGAAGATTAGGTATATACATAGAACGACTACCTGAATAGCTCTCAAGAATGCCATTAATGACACAATGTTCACCGTGGTAATACTGACTCACATGCAGTTTCTGGCAGCCAGGTCTCTGTGAATGAAATTCCTGTCGCTGAGATACTGCATTCCCTGGGCGATCTGGAGACAGACGTCTAGCAACAGTTTCCGAGCCGACACCACCTGGAGTTGGCAACACAAGTCTCATTCCTGTATTTCAGATCTACTATATGTTACCCCCATGATACCGCCATACCCACATTCTGCATAAGGATAGAAGTGAGTTTCTCTTCCACCACTGATCACATATTTTAGGTTTCTTTTCTGCTAAAAACGTGTTCCTGGTTCTGACTCTGTCATTCTACAGGTTCCCATTCTTCTCTACACAAGTTCTATGCCATACACTGGTTCTAAGGTTCCCATTCTGCCGTACACGGGTTCTAGGTTCCCATTCTGCCGTACACGGGTTCTAGGTTCCCATTCTGCCGTACACTGGTTCTAAGGTTCCCATTCTGCCGTACACGGGTTCTAGGTTCCCATTCTGCCGTACACTGGTTCTAAGGTTCCCATTCTGCCATACACGGGTTCTAGGTTCCCATTCTGCCGTACACTGGTTCTAAGGTTCCCATTCTGCCGTACACGGGTTCTAGGTTCCAGAACGTACACTCGCAGAGTCTGCCAGTGCAGGCAGCATGACCGTCTCCTGATTCTTCCTGAGATATGAGCTGAGGTTCCCGTTGGCCATGAACGGCATGACGATGGACGGACCGGAGAAGCCCACCACGACGACACCAAGGAGACGGAGGACGTTGGGGTGGTTGAACTGCTGCATTATGACAATCTCCTCCATCATCTTCTGGATGCATGTAACATTGATGAATCCTGGGAAGAAAAGAATTGACACCAGTTTTTATTTTCAAAAGTTCAGAGAGTTTTGTAAAAAAAGCCATAGAGCATAAAACAAGTTTTGGCCTTCCCTAGCTTATTCCTGTAGCTGTAAACTGAAGCTTATGTATGAGCAAGAAACATTAAGATTCACATACGTAAGTGCCATCTATTTGGTGATTTTCCAGCGAAAAGATTACCTCATACCTTTTACTGTCTTGACGGCCACCAGTCTAGGAAGACCACCTCTTATCAGATGAGCTTTGTAGACTATTCCGTATTCACCTGCAGAATGGTAGATTCCCCATGGATGGGTTTAGATAGGGACTGACAGCAATACAGTGGAACCTCTCTCTAAGGACACTGAAATGAGGACACCTCTCTAAGGACACCCCTGAAATGAGGACACCTCTCTAAGGACACCCCTGAAATGAGGACACCTCTCTAAGGACACCCTGAAATGAGGACACCTCTCTAAGGACACCCCTGAAATGAGGACACCTCTCTAATAAGGACACCATTTCTTTCCCCAAGAACAGTTCTTGCATGCAATTCAACCCCCGAAATAAGGACACCTCACTAATATGGACACTTTCTTCTGTCCCACTGGTGTCTGGATTAGAGGGGTTCCACTGGTATACACTTTACCTTGTCCTACACTTTCGACAATCCTCAACTGCTTTGCGTGAATGAAGAGTTTCGGAGGCAGAGATTTAGCAAATTCTGTCACTAACTTTTCCAGATGATGATCTGGCAAAAATTTCTACACTGAAAAATTTATCCAAAAATTATGAGGGTACCTTTCATTTCCATTTCTTTGTGAATCCTAAAAAATGTGAGAATAAAAGTTTGCATGCATAGAGAGACACGTAAAACTCATTTACCTCATTTCTTTCATTCTTTTGCTCTCCCTCCATCGATAGGTGACTATCGCCCCGGCAACCACCGTTGCCGCTAGCAACACGACCATGAAAGCGGTGATGCCCGTGGCAACGTAGACGTCGCGCTGACTCTGTGGTTGACTTATTTCAGATGTACTCACTATCATTATCTCACCAATTTCCCCTCGGAAATTGCCCAACTTTGCCTGCAAGGAAGAGATGTGCAACTTTAACAAAATGGCACAATTTTAGTCTTCAACTCTTTTCCAGTTTTACGGTATGTAAACACAAAATTTAAAGTATATAGCTTGTTGCAGCATAGGATAATAAAACGTTAGGTGTTATTAAACTATGTAATAGCGTAAGTTTCAACATACGTACATACGTAGCGATCGATTTCTTTGGTTTCGGTTTGAGCAGCAAGTTCTACGTCGCTATGTTTATATACTTACTAAACTAGTCAAAGGTATAATATACGTAAGATTATGACATTTCCTAGTCAAAGATTTCTGCCATTAGACGTTAGAGCATTCTCTTTGAAATGTATTAGCAAATGTGACCATTTTAAATCGAACGTTTATGTAAAAGATTACACAAAGGACCATGAGGATGCTTACAGTCATGGTGATTGGTTGATCACGTGGCAGAACCTGAAGATTCGATGCTGCCAGTGCACACTGAAGATACTATATACCAAGAGAGGGGGAGAGAGAGAGAGAGAGAGAGAGAGGGGAGAGAGAGAGAGAGAGAGAGAGAGAGAGAGAGCACAAAGATGGTCAGAGTTTGTCTTAATTGCACTAACTTTACGTTTAAATGCTGCCCTGCACATTCCGAAACACAAAAAACGAGCTATTTGCCAACCATAATGCACAGTATAAATTGCTAATGTGACGTGACTCTCATCTTTCAACTTACGATCATTGTGTGCGCATGCCTAGATACAACATGAACAATAGATGTACAGGTGAATGAGATGTACATGTGTGAGAGTATACACTACTATAGAGCGCATGATACGTATAAAGCATGATAGTTCAGTTTGCTATATGTAAATTGAATATAAAACCTGAGTATCGTCGGTGTTGGTAGTGTTGAAAGGCAGGACCGCGCACAGACAGCGTTCCTCACTGCCACACGGCTCCAGTTCAAGATCAAGGTCATGTGACGCAAAATTCAGCCTTTGGCCCTTCATTATTATAGAGTGGAGAAAAAAACAGGTAAAAAGAGGTATGGCATAATGTGCAAGAATGTGTTAATGTATTAGTACATAAAGGGCTAACTATAAACAATAGGGCACAGTGAAGAATGCAATTAGGTTTTTTTATTAGTTTTCATTTTCAAGTTTATGAGCAAGGCTGTACACAATGTATGGCTAGTAAGTTTCATTTCCAGTGTATATAGCTCCTTCAATCAAAACGCAATCTGTATGTTGCTAAACGATTATACAAATTTTGTATAATGTGGATTGAAAAACCGAGCAATTATAAGAAGATAAAGTCATAATTTCACGTGTACGTATATATACATACCTTTATGTTTATTACAACGTCTTTCTTCAAGAATTCCGTCTCTGAGAAAACCTGAGGTTCGTTGAAGGGAATAAACACGGGATCCTGATAGACAGTGACGGCCATTTTGAGATCCAGGAGGTGGCACGCTGCATCCATTAGCAACCCGATGTGGTATCGCCCCGGCGACAGGGGAGGGGCCAGACAATCCAGCATCTCGCTTCTCCTCCCCAAGCAAGCCTGTAAACAAGAACAATTTTCATTTTCAAGTCTTTGAGCAAGGCTGTACACAATATATGGATAGTAAGTTTCATTTCCAATTTTTGAGGAAGCCTCATGCATGTAATGAAGATGATGAACAAAACTCCCTATCAGAGCCCCATACACCTATGATGCTAGTGCCCATAACGATTCATGTATGAACAACAGCTTTCATTTTCAGTTTACACAAGTATTAAAAGCACAATAAAAATCGATTAGTAAGTAGCTGTATAGTGTTATTTCTGATGATGTCATACAGTAATTTCGACGACGTCATTACATTATTTCACTAACCTCAGACTTATAGTCCCAAGTTTCAGCACACATTGTAAACGGGTCGGTAATAAGCAGGGGGCTTGGAACGCTAAATTTGGGTCCCTCGGAATTGTCAGGAGGGCCCTCAGGGGGGCTTTTTGTTGGGGGGCCATCATTTTGGTTGTCAGCCATGTTAGGTGTGTCTCTTGAGTGACAGGTATAAGGTAGAACACGAGGTGCCTTATTCGGGCAATGCTTAGTTCTTTTCCCTCAATGATGTAAGTTGTTCCCCCGCTGGAATTGGATAGTAGGAGAGAAAGAGAGAGAGAGAAGGTGGAATGAGAGAGAGGGAGTTATTAAAATAAATGTACGGCTTTTCTCAACGAAACGTAACTGAACGAAATTGGAAACGTAGATTGTTGGTCTCCTACTGTAGACAAAGGCGCACAAAAGCGCATCTTTTAAACCGAGTCACTTGTACAGTAGCATGATGAACAAGTATAGAGGAGAGGAGAGGAAGAAAGAGAAAGGCAATGGGTTAGAGAAGTACGTAGGAGGAAGAGAGAAGGAGGAGGAAGAGAGAAGGAGGAGGAAGAGAGAAGGAGGAGGAAGAGAGAAGGTGGAGGAAGAGAGAAGGAGGAGGAAGAGAGAAAGAATAGATCGGGATCTAGAGAGAGAAGCTCACGAGGCAATGGAGGAGAGAAGGAGGAGGAAGAGAGAAAGAAGAGATCACGATCTAGAGAGAGAAGCTCATGAGGCAACGGAGGAGAGAAGGAGGAGGAAGAGAGAAAGAAGAGATCACGATCTAGAGAAAGAAGCTCACGAGGCAATGGAGGAGAGAAGGAGGAGGAAGAGAGAAAGAAGAGATCGGGATCTAGAGAGAGAAACCTCACGAGGCAATGGAGGAGAGAAGGAGGAGGAAGAGAGAAAGAAGAGATCACGATCTAGAGAAAGAAGCTCACGAGGCAATGGAGGAGAGAAGGAGGAGGAAGAGAGAAAGAAGAGATCGGGATCTAGAGAGAGAACCTCACGAGGCAATGGAGGAGAGAAGGAGGAGGAAGAGAGAAAGAAGAGATCACGATCTAGAGAAAGAAGCTCACGAGGCAATGGAGGAGAGAAGGAGTGGAAGAGA